GAGGCAGATACTCTAACCACTGAGCACACCACCAATAGCCAAATGGCTTTAGATTGATTTCAACATGCAGTTTCAAGTTCACAAAGCACTTGTACATGCCTTCTCCCTGGAGCAGTGTGCAGCGGGTGGTCAGTCAGTGTGCCCACGCAGCTCAGGAGTGAGGGCTCCTCTTTTGGATCTTTCAGCCCTCACTAGGTTATTTGCCTTCCACCAATGACCCTCTCCTCCCCTTACTCACCTGGCATCAGGGGCTCATCCTTGTCTAGAGACAGGAACCATCTGCTGACTTTAAGACGTAGAACATGGCGTCCTCGGAAGCCTCACTGCCTTTCTTTTCCCCACAGTGGACTGGTTTCCTGTCTTCCGAGACTTGGTCAACATTGGCCTGAAGGCCTTTGCCTTCTGTGTGGCCACCTCACTGACCCTGCTGACCGTGGCTGCTGGCTGGCTCTTCTACCGGCCCCTGTGGGCCCTCTTCATTGCCTGTCTGGCCCTGGTGCCCATCATCATTGCTCGGACACGGGTGCCAGCCAAAAAGCTGGAGTGAAACAGGCCCTGGCACCTACACAACACCCATTTGAATTTCAGGACCCAGGTCACCCCGTGCCCCCTCCTCTGACCCTGCTCCACACCAGAGCATGAGTCCGCACTGGTTTTAGATTCTGCACCTGCTCCACTCTTCAAGGGGCCAGACTTGGCAGTGTGCACTTACGTCGGATTTGGTGTTCATCTGTTAAGTCTCTCCACCCCTTGTCTTGTCAGTGAGCAGCTTTGATGGGCAGAAGGCAGCTCCTCTCTGGCGGCATGACAAGCGTTCTCCCACTTGTTTTCCCCCTTCTCTTGGGACTGTGTGTGGCTGGTTGCATGCATCATCTAGCCGGTGTCTTCAGATATCCAGGTGACACTCAGAGACCTGCTGCCTTACCCCCTCCTGCCTCTCCTCCTCGGAGATGAGTGCCAGGTTCTGCCACACCACTAGCAGCTCCCTTGATACTAAAGGGCCACCTTTATCAGCTGTCTCTAATTGGTGCTGTATTGCCAAGACAGACTAAGCCCTTACCCTGCAAAGCAGGGTCACTATAAACCCAGTTTGTGGCTAGAACTTGATTTGATACTTCAAAAAAGCAAATCCACTGGCTTTGACCTGAGGGAAATTGGACATCTGTTGGGCTTTACTCTTTTTATGGTTTGGCAGAATCTCCTTAGTGTACAGTATCTCCAAAGGCTCTGAGTTTTTATTGCCTCACTTCATGTGTACTCTACCCCGAGGGAGTTGTTCAAAATAAGATTTGAAAAGCAAAGTAGAAAACCTCCTGAATGACTAACATTTCTGACTGCTACAGAAAAAGACACCCTTTAACCTGTTAGTTAAGGTTAATTCAGAGCACAGGAAGGTGTTAAATGGGGCTGTGACTTACCTGGTTAAAAAAAAAAAGTTACCGTTGTCAGTATTCTGGGTCACTGGGAAGCTTTAAGATGCTTTTGAAATAAGTGTTACAAAATGATTTGTCTTCTCTCTGGGAGGCATTGGGGAATATCTACAAGGTAAAGCGTTTCCTTTTATCCTATGGCATCAGACGCTACCAGTGTACTTGAAGTTACGAGTTTTTAGTCAACTATTAAAGGAAAAGGTTGGAAGCTTTATTATCCTGCGCTCCTTCACAGTGACCCCATCAAAATCAAGCTTGGAGGCCTCGGGCTTGCTGTAGATGTGAGTGCTCTTGCCGGCCTCATTCCTTTCATCATGGAGGACTTCTGATACAGCGGCTGGGCCTCCATGGCTGCTTCTGCTATTCGTTTTCTGTTACGTGTCTGCCACTTTGCTCCTCCAAAATAACATCTACCCACACTTAACATATTTCCCAACTACTCACACCCTTTGAAAGATAAAGAATGTAACCTTGATGTCAACATATTTCCCAACTACTCTCACACCCTTTGAAAGATAAAGAATGTAACCTTGATGTCCTAAAAAATTCTTTGTATAGCTTTTACTTTATCTTTTACTACTTGGAAATTGTTCTACCTTGCTGGGAGTGGTTGCTTTAGCAAATAAGTATCTGGTAGTTGAATAGGGGTCAGAACTTCTGAAAATAGTGATCTAATAATCTCTCCTATAGTCCGGGTATATGTTACAGATTCTTCATGGTAGGGACAGCTGGCCCCACAGATGATTTATCTGGGTTTAAGGACTGAAATAGTTCACTGCAGTTTCACTGAATCTCTAAATCAGGGGTGGAGAATGTCCGGCCTATGGGCCATATAAGGTCTGAGAAATCATTTGGTCTGGCCCTGCCAAGGCATTAGGGGTGAGTTAGTTAAATGTTTGACTAAATATAGCAGGATAATTTTTAAGTTGATAATTTTGTGTGGCCTGCAAATGATGTTATAAATATTCAAATGGCTCTTGGCAGAAAAAAGGCCCTCCACTCCTGCTCTAAATCCTCAAAGGATGCTTTTGGAAAATACAGTACAGTAAAACCTTCGATTTAATGGACTTAGTATTTAACAGACAAAATTTCTGGTCTGTATGTTATGTGGAAATTAACACCCTCTCAATTAAAAAATGCTTTTAACCAAGAGTTGCTTGTAATTAACAGGTTATTTTTTTTGTTATTCACTGTTACTAGTATTTTTAATAAATTTTAGTGAATAGGCCATATGCTGGAAAAAACACAAGTAATTTTGATGACATAAATATTACATATCTACAACTATAATCTACATATTTAAATCCAAGAATCACTGCTTGTAAACAATGTCTGGTGAATGATGAACACATGATCACACCGCATGGAGCAGTAATTAGTTGTTGTTGTTGCATGGTGTCACTTTCTGCAGCAGTTTTAACGCCGAAGTTCCGACATACACTAAGGCACATCCCATCTGTGTGCATCTGTTTACTCGTGGAGACTGGTGAATGTACACATTTACTAGATCTATTCAGTATAAATTTAAAATTACAGTAATACATGTAGAAAACTTTTCTGTGAAATTAAACTTTTCATATATACTTAATTTTAATTAAACATCTACGTAAGTGAAAACAGGTAAACTAATTTGTCAATATTTTAATATATGCATTCGGAAAACCTGTTTTATTATATAATGGGCTTTCAGCTTTAATGGACACACCCTTGCCCATATTAGTTCCTTTTATCGAGGTTTTACTGTATATACAAAATCTTTGGGATTGGTCTGTAATTTTTCCAAGTATAAGATTTTAAATTACTGCCAATTTCAAGTGTTCTTTAGGAGCAAAATAATGTTAAGAAATATTTGATGCCTTGGAAAAATCATGAAATTTGTATTCTTTGTATTTTTGATAGAAAAATCAAAATAAATGTCTAAGTATCTTTTATAGGACATTGCCATTATTCCTTTTGTTGTTTCTGTATTCTTTCTGAAATTTCTATCTTAAAGAATTCAGCCGTAAAATTCGGTACAAACCATATGATTTTTAGACTGAGTTCTAAGTTGTTTTTGGTGGTTAAAATATATATATTTTTAAAGGGCAACTCAATATTTCTAGCACTTAGAAGTCTTAAATGTCAAAGCCTACTTTGTTTTGGATGCATTTAAAGTGAAGGATTCACACTTCACTCATCTTCAGAATTGTGCTGGAGGACGGGATGGAGCCACAGTCCAAAAGGCATCATTGGCTTTGGGTTGGCACAGACCTGAATTCCAGTCTCAAGTCTGCCACTGATTGGCTATGTTATGTTGGGAAAATCAATACTTTGAGCCTCAGTCCCCTCATCTGTAAAATGGGAACAATGCCATTGTACCCCCACCCACTAGTTTGCTGTGAGGACTGGCAGAAAGCCCATGAAATGCCAAACACATGTGACATTAACTTTTTATTCTTTTTCCTCCTGTTCTGAAGCAAAGGACTGCTGTAATTATCCACTCTGAAGTTAGCAATTTGAATAGTTCTTTTTATGTATTACAAGATTTGAAGCAGGTGAGTAATAACTTTCCAAAACCTATTCTTGTATTTCTAAAAACTGAAAGTTTTGATTTCCATAGTGCCTTCTAGGAGCTGACCTCTGCCTGAAAAACAGGTTGGTGTGGGGAGACAGGATGATGCTCGACTGAATTCCCAGAAAGCAAGTCGCTTACCTCTAGAAGAGGAAGGGCTCTGGTGCAGGAAGAGTGAGGCTCTGCAGTTTCCATGGCAACCTGTTTGTTTCTCAGCAAGAGTCTTCCTGCCAGGCTTTTATGCATATGAGTCATACCTCAAGTGTTTTGTTTGTTTCCCTTGGATAAAACTGATTCAAATTTTTATTGGCTCCTGACAAAGATTAAATAATACCTCCTTGCTTAAACATAGAAAAGAAAAATCCATGTGTGCTTGTAAGCCCCCAGCCTACAAGAAAACAGAACTTTAATTTAGTCTCGACATGTGTACAAATCACGGTCAGCATGTTTTCTTAGCTGAAGCAAAATCTGAAAGAAAATGTAGAGCTGAGTCTTTTTAGATAAATGCTTTATTTTTTCTCAAAATGTTATTCTAAATACCTACAGTGCCATAGAGCTTTATAAAATTTATCCAGTAATGACTTTAGTCTTCTGCCATCATGAAATGTAACTTTGAAAAGTGGATCCCAACAATACCAGAATCCGAGTTGACCTGTGCTCCCCATACTAAAGAGGCAGCATTAGGCAGTATTAGTAAACCTGATTGAGGGAAAATGAGTGGCCTGCAGAGAGAGGGTCTGAAGTCTGCAAGAGATGCGAGAGCACCAGTGTCTGACAGATGAAGAATCTGGAAGAAAGGACTGGTGCATTCCTAATGTACGATTATCCGAAAATTTCCCAGGGGTTTCTATAAAAAACGGACTCATGTTTCAAAAGGGGAAGCAGCAGGTCTAAGTGCAGGAGGGTCTCCAGGGAAGGGTTCCATAGCTCAAGACATAGGGTGTGGGAGCAAGAGACTTTGAAGGCCCTATGCTGAGTGGCTCTGACAAGGACTGGGGCCACACTAGACCTGCAGCACCACCTCAATTTGACCCTGCTGTCCCCGCATCCTTGTCTGCCTTCTCCGTGGAGACACCATGGCCTCAATCCTATCATGAGATGGCCACTCACATCATAACCTCTCAAATGGGAACAGGTGGGAAGCCTCCGCCTTTTCCCTTTTGGTTTTCTTAGGGCACCTTGGCTTCTGCTCTTCTTTAGCTTCTCGGTTCTGGGGCCAGGAAGCAGCCAGGATCTTGGCCGCTTCTGCTTGCGAGCTGGTTCCTTCCTCTTCATCAGAAGAGAGCCCACCTCCTGCTGGGTGGGGAGTTTCTGCTCCACTCTGGAGAGGTGGGGGCAGTGCAGGGAAACATAGGCCACGGGTCAGTGAGCAGGTAGATAGGAGGAAACACCCTCACGAGGCAGTAAAGCTCCTAGCAACAGGCTGCCTGAAGCTGTGTGGCTCGGAGGACAAGGGTACTGCATGGGGCTGGGGGAGAACTAAGGCCTGCCTTCCTGTGTCTTCCTCAGACTGGGGACTCATCCAAGCAGGTACTGGTAACTTACAAGCTGAGGGAACACCAAGATGTCTAGGCAGGAAACTACCCTCAGGGAGTGTACAATGAAATCTAGGAGATCGCTACTGACTGGGGCTTTGCATGCATTACTTCACTTCTGAACAAAAGTGCCCAGTGCTCTGAGGAGGTACTCCTTGAGCCTGGGCCGGCTGGGGCGGGGAGCTGGATGCAGAGGGTGAAAGCACAGTGTTGGGAAGGAACCAGTTAGGCATGAAGCTTGGTGAAGGGGTCACTGATGGGATTTGAGCGAGGAGCATGACGAGAGTATTTTTTAAAGGGAAATAGGCAGCATGTGGGGTAGGAGATGTGTGGTCACAGCTGCTCCCAGAGCATTTTTCTGCTGTCTCTGACCCAGTACTGATCACACCACGTGACTGTGTCTGGGGCCTGCATGTCAAGTCCACACCTGTGTCCACAGGCTGGCCTGCCACATGGCAGGTGCTGTGAGAGTATTCCGGTCCCGAGGGATGATCGCAGGCACTGAGAGCACCACCAGGCTGAATGGTGGGTCACACACAGAAGTACAGACCTCGTCTCTTTTTGAATGGGCTTAGCACCAGAGCACGCCCCTCCTCACTTGTGCAGAGAGGAGCAGAAAAGGGCATGTTGGGGCAGGGCTGGGGGCCAGAAGAGGCAGCTGAGGCTGACTCCAAAGACACCTTCCCCAACAAGGTAAGGGGACAGGTCTGTGGCATCAAAACATAAAGCTGATCTATGACTTGACGTCCAGGCAGAATGCGGGCCAGTGATTCCTGAGAACCCCTTCCCACCCAGGCTTGTCTTCTTTACAAAGGCCCCACACTGACCTTGGCCCCATAGCGAAGCTTCAACCTCTCCCTGATGAGCAGTCCCTTAGCCAGCAGCTTCCAGTTCTCGAGCGCCCGCTTCTCCCTTTTCTGCAGGAAAAAAATGACACAGGTAAGCAAAAAATGTTGAGTACTGCTATTTTCAGGAAAAATAAGATCGAACCTATGAAAACACACACACACACACACACACACACACACACTTTAGGTTAAAAAAGTTTATATCAAGTATCAGTTTTAAAATTGAAATGATTTATAAAAGGCATGACAGGCATAAAAAACAAAAACCTCTTTTTAAATGATTTCCTACTCCAAAATGTTTAGGGTAGGAGGTTCTCCACACCTGGACCATAGACAATTCCTTTCAACAGAGGCAGGTGTCGGCAGCAGGGAAGTTGTCCCTGGAGCTGGGATCCGGGCAGATAGTGGATTTTGAGGTGTAGGAAGAATTGTTTTTTTTCCAGTGCTGGCTCCCTGGGGGGCCCTCACAGAGTTGGAGCCAGAGCGAGCTTCAGAGTGCATAGACTCTCCTTTATAGTTGCTGTAGGTGAGGCACTGCCCGTCCAGTGTGCTTGCTTTCCCACTCCAAGCCCCACCCAGGCCAGCCCTTGCCAGACTGCTCACCTCCTTCTCCTTCTTTTCAATGAGTGCCTGCTCATTTTCCCAGGCGGCCAGGAGCACGTCTTTGTATTCCTCGCAGACTATGTACCCATCAGTTCTGTGGGGATGCAACAGGCCCTTAGCCAGCTTCCAGTTCTCGAGCGCCCGCTTCTCCCTTTTCTGCAGGAAAAAAATGACACAGGTAAGCAAAAAATGTTGAGTACTGCTGCTTTCAGGAAAAATAAGATCGAACCTATGAAAACACACACACACACACACACACACACACACACACACACTTTAGGTTAAAAAAGTTTATATCAAGTATCAGTTTTAAAATTGAAATGATTTATAAAAGGCATGACAGGCATAAAAAACAAAAGCCTCTTTTTAAATGATTTCCTACTCCAAAATGTTTAGGGTAGGAGGTTCTCCACACCTGGACCATAGACAATTCCTTTCAACAGAGGCAGGTGTCGGCAGCAGGGAAGTTGTCCCTGGAGCTGGGATCCGGGCAGATAGTGGATTTTGAGGTGTAGGAAGAATTGTTTTTTTTCCAGTGCTGGCTCCCTGGGGGGCCCTCACAGAGTTGGAGCCAGAGCGAGCTTCAGAGTGCATAGACTCTCCTTTATAGTTGCTGTAGGTGAGGCACTGCCCGTCCAGTGTGCTTGCTTTCCCACTCCAAGCCCCACCCAGGCCAGCCCTTGCCAGACTGCTCACCTCCTTCTCCTTCTTTTCAATGAGTGCCTGCTCATTTTCCCAGGCGGCCAGGAGCACGTCTTTGTATTCCTCGCAGACTATGTACCCATCAGTTCTGTGGGGATGCAACAGGGGTGGACTTTCTCGAGCCTGATTCCTGCTCTCGCCTTTCCTCCTCCCGTTGTGGAGGACAGTAGGCTGCTCCTAGCTCTGAAGGGTTTCCTGAGTCAGCTGGTCCACAGTCCTGGCCATAGCTGCTAACAGATGCCACTCATGCAGAAGGAAAGCCTGTGGACCTGGCACTGCTTCTTCCGGGCCTTGCCTAAGAGCTGGGATGAGAGCCCCTGTCCACCCCCACTGCATGCAGGACAGAGGTCACCAACCAGGAAGGACACTGACCCCACTAGGTCACCTGTGACCACCCCCAGAAAAAGTGTTTTAATCTAACATTATTAGGGGCTGGTTTCACTGGTTTTGCTGCCTCTGGATGGAAGTCAGAGTAAGAGTCAAAGTGTAAAAGTTAAAGTGTTAAGGCTGAATTTGCAAATTCAGAGTAAACCCTGGAAAATCAAGAGCCACTGGGCCTCTCCCTCCCCCAATCCCACACCAATTTCCCATCCACTTCACCGTGACCTCCCCCCTCCTTCCAGTTTCTATGGAAGGCGTCTCACGCACATGGGATGGGAGTATCCTTTATGGAAATCAAAGCCGGTGACGGCCGGGACACAGTCGATGCCCAGCTTACGAGCCACGCGGTTCAGGTTGGGCAGATTCAGTTGAACACAGCCAACAGGCATCATGCTGGGCAGGAAGAGGTACACGTTCCCAAATTCATTCCGGGGGACCTGCAGAGGTTGGCATGCAGGTCTGGCCAGCTGCAGAATGAAGCGGCCTAGTCCTGACCCACTGAGCGCTGCCCTTACCTTGCCGTCCACAGCCACGGGTGGCTGGTATTCCTCTGTCTGCCACTTGCCAAACAGGCCCAGGTCATTTTGGTCCTGCAGCTGGGGCTCAGCAAGGCGGGCTCTCCGGGCCCGGTTGGAATAGCCTTTCACCATCTACACCAGAGGGAACAGCCAGTTTACAACAAAGGCTACTACTTCCTGAGTGCTTACTGTATAGCAGGCCCTGTGTTCAGTGCTTCGCACCTGTTACAAAACAAACAACAAACAAACCTGGGATGGGTGTGCTTTTTATCCCCTTTAGTACTATTAGCACGAGTACCACCAGCTAACATCTACAGAGTGCTCACTGTATCAGGCACTGTTCTCAGTGCTCTGTGTGTATTTAATATTTTCAGACTATGACTGATTGCGGGTAACAAACAGCAGACAACAAAACCACAGATAAGGGGAGGATTACTATACTTTGTTCAATACTTTCATCACTGAAATGGAAATTGGAACACAAAAATGATGGCACTTAAGATCCCATGGCCGGGTGAGTGACAGGGCCAGGATTTAACCCTAGAAAACTAACTGTGCCATGTACCCTGGAAGGCACTGATAGTTTGGGACCCCGAGCACACTACGTTACTGATGTCTAATGGTCAATACCAAAATTTTCACTGGGAAGTGAAGGGGTAAAAGGAGCGGAGAACTGGCAAGGAGGAAAAGGTTGTATAACTTCTACAAGGAGGAGCGGCACAGGCGTGGGCTAAGGATTGGCTATTGGGCCTGGGCTGCTTCTAGTGTAGGGTTGGCAAACCCCTCCTGCAAAGGGTCACACACAGCCTCTGTTGCATATTCTTTATTCCTCTCTTTTTACAATCCATAAAACAAGTAAAAGCCATTCTGAGACAGGACCTAGGCTGGATGTGATCTGCGAGCTGTGGACTGCAGACTGCTGTTCTGGTGGCCATTTCTGCCAGGGTAACTGGGCACACCACCTCCGTCACCCTGTGGGGCCGACAGTCCCTTTCTCAGGGAGCCATTCATCCCATGCTGTTAATTAAGTAAAGATCCAATGAGCATCTATTACAGACACCGTGACACCAGTCGTTAGGGGCAGAGAAAGGGCAGTCTGTTCTTAAGGAGCACAGGCTCCTGTGGGGAGACAGAGAAGACTATAATTCAGTTTGAAGAATACAAGGCAGGATGGGGCCCACAGGCAGGACCCCTTGCCCAGCCCTGAGGCGGGAGAGGGAAAGACAAGCTGTTCAGAACAGGCCCCATCTCACTGAGTCTGAAAGGGCAAAAGGGACTGGTCAAGTGAAAAGGACTGAGAAAGGCATTTGGAACCAAGAGTATGTGGGACTGCTGAAGTCGCCTGGCATGCAGGAGGAAATGTGGACAAACCTGGGATGGGTGTGCTTTTTATCCCCTTTAGTATTATTAGCACGAGTACCACCAGTGCCTGATACAGTGCTCACTGTATCAGGCACTGTTCTCAGTGCTCTGTGTGTATTTAATATTTTCAGACTATGACTGATTGCGGGTAACAAACAGCAGACAACAAAACCACAGATAAGGGGAGGATTACTATACTTTGTTCAATACTTTCATCACTGAAATGGAAATTGGAACACAAAAATGATGGCACTTAAGATCCCATGGCCGGGTGAGTGACAGGGCCAGGATTTAACCCTAGAAAACTAACTGTGCCATGTACCCTGGAAGGCACTGATAGTTTGGGACCCCGAGCACACTACGTTACTGATGTCTAATGGTCAATACCAAAATTTTCACTGGGAAGTGAAGGGGTAAAAGGAGCGGAGAACTGGCAAGGAGGAAAAGGTTGTGTAACTTCTACAAGGAGGAGCGGCACAGGCGTGGGCTAAGGATTGGCTATTGGGCCTGGGCTGCTTCTAGTGTAGGGTTGGCAAACCCCTCCTGCAAAGGGTCACACACAGCCTCTGTTGCATATTCTTTATTCCTCTCTTTTTACAATCCATAAAACAAGTAAAAGCCATTCTGAGACAGGACCTAGGCTGGATGTGATCTGCGAGCTGTGGACTGCAGACTGCTGTTCTGGTGGCCATTTCTGCCAGGGTAACTGGGCACACCACCTCCGTCACCCTGTGGGGCCGACAGTCCCTTTCTCAGGGAGCCATTCATCCCATGCTGTTAATTAAGTAAAGATCCAATGAGCATCTATTACAGACACCGTGACACCAGTCGTTAGGGGCAGAGAAAGGGCAGTCTGTTCTTAAGGAGCACAGGCTCCTGTGGGGAGACAGAGAAGACTATAATTCAGTTTGAAGAATACAAGGCAGGATGGGGCCCACAGGCAGGACCCCTTGCCCAGCCCTGAGGCGGGAGAGGGAAAGACAAGCTGTTCAGAACAGGCCCCATCTCACTGAGTCTGAAAGGGCAAAAGGGACTGGTCAAGTGAAAAGGACTGAGAAAGGCATTTGGAACCAAGAGTATGTGGGACTGCTGAAGTCGCCTGGCATGCAGGAGGAAATGTGGCTGGAGAAGAGGCGAGTATCAGAGTAGCACAGGTTTTGTGCTACATGGAAGACATGACCCTGAGTAGGGTGAGGGTGGGCTACCCAGGAGGTGTCACATGCAACTCTATGTTTCAGAAAGATCCCATGGTGGCGAAATTGACAGTGAACTGAAGAGCTGAAGGTGGCTGTGATCCAAGCAAGAGAAGATAGGGAGCTGGACAGTAGGTTTCAGAACACAAGGAGGACTTGAGATTTGGGATTATGCTAGAACTGTGCTATTATAATAGCCATGGACATTTGAAATGTAATAGTCACAATTGAGATGTATTGAAAGTTAAATACTAGATTTCAAAGCCTTACTAAAAAAAAAAAAAAAAGTAAAATATCTCATTAACATTCTAAAACATTACATGTTGAAATGACAAGATTTCAAATATATTTGAAAATATTTAAATTATAGAGGCCCGGTGCATGAAATCTGTGTATGGAAGGGGGAGGTCCTTCAGCCTGGCCTGCACCCTCTCACAATCCAGGACCACTGGCTCCTCACCACTGGCCTGCCTGCCTGCCTGCCTGATCGCCTCTAACTGCCTCTGCCTGCCTACCTGATCGTCTCTAACTGCCTCTGCCTGCCTGCCTGCCTGCTCACCCCTAACCACTCTGCCTGCCTGCCTGATCATCCCTAACTGATTGCCTGCCTGTCTAATCGCCCCTAACTGATTGCCTGCCTGCCTGATCGCCCCTAACTGCCTCAGCCTGCCTGCCTGATCGTCCCTAACTGCTTACCTGATCACTCCTAATCACCTCTGCCTTGGCCCCCACCACCGTGGCTTCATCCAGAAGGACGTCTGGAAGGTCATTCAGCTATCTGGTCTAATTAACATATTACACTTTTATTATTATAAATATTAAAACATTTAAGTATGGCTACTAAAAATTTTAAATTTGTGGCTCCCCTTATATTTCCATCAGACAGTGCCATTTTAGAATGAAGAAACTGGTTATTGGATATGGAAACCCGAGCGGTCCACGCAGGCAGCATAATGTACTCAAGTCTGCTTTTGGCAGTGACCGCTCCCAAGGCCTGCAGCCCCTTCCCACCAAACTGAGGTGTCTCCCCTCCCTGCCAAGCTCCCTAGTCTCACAACCCAAAGGGCTCCTTTTGGGATCTGACAAAAAAGAACAAATGTGTCTCTGTGACAAGCCTGAGCGGTACTGTACTGAATCCCTATTTCTTGTGGGCAGCTGGCCTGACTGAGCAGCACAGAGGGAGAGAAATGACACTGGAGTGGAGGCAGGGCTTGGGATTGTTGTCTGGGCACCCATTTTCCTAACTGTAAGGCCTTGGACAAGTAATTTCTCCGTTTCCATTTTCTCATATGTAAAATGGGCACCATAATGCTAACTCCTATGGCTGTTGAAACACAGTAGAGAACATATACATACAAAATACGTGGTAAGTTGCCAAGCGGAAGGACGCTGATGACTGGTGAATGCATCTACATAAAGCAGGGCTTTGGCCTCTTAAAGCAACTCAGTAACAGTTCCAATCTACACGGCCTTTGAGCACACACACACCAGGAGCCTGAGGGCTGCTTTTTGGCATAGATTTCTTGCATGCTCTGGAAGATCCATCTCTTACAAATTCCTCATTAAAGTGAGACATCATTTAAATGCTTCTCTCCTTCTCAAGCGAGGAAAGCAGACCTGGGCTCCTATCCTGGGCATATATATACTCAACAGCCCTCAGTCTTCACTCCTCTGCCCGCAGCTGTTCCACTGTCTTGGTGCTGAACCTCCCGATGCCCTGGTCTGGGGGACGCCCACCCAGCTCCGGTTACCTTGTAGGGCACTTCTCCAAGCCTCACCACTCTTCCTTGTTTCAGCCATGTGTCCCTGGAGTGCAGGGTTTGCACACAATCCCTGCCGGAGCCAACAGAGGGAGACAAAGGAGAAACTCAGTTCACACCTTGATGGAGCACAGTATGGAGAGGAACCCTGAGGACCCAGGTGCTCATATGACCTCCCAGGAGGAAGAGCACAGCCTGTGATACTCTTCTCAGGCTCTGCTCCTGAGGAAGCCAGGGGACTTGCCTCAGGCAAACAGTAAACTTGGATTTTCTATCTTAGTGGGTGTGTGAGTTCACTTACAAACCCTAACCTAAATAGAATTACACTTCTGTCTTAGGCTTCGTGCGGTACCCTCACCTCTCCTCCCACAATGAGAGTCCCTTTGCAGCCCGTAGGGGGAGAGGCAAAAGTCACAGCACTAAAGGCACATTTCCTCACCACTGAGCACATGCCTGCCCAGGGTCTGGTCTGCTGCCAATACCAGAGGGGACAAGTGACCAGGGAAGGGGTGGTGAACCCAAAAGACTACATGGAAATTATAACTGCGTTAATAAATTACCATGGAATTAAGACTCATGCACATGGAACGGTCAAATAATTCCTGGCGGCCTGTGATTATGGGGAGAGATCCTCTGGCTTCACTCTCCTTCCAGAGCTAAGAGCTATCCCCTAGCCTTCCAATTCTACTTTCCAACACAGACTCTGAACTGAGGGTCCAGGTGATTCCCTGCAGGACTGACATGCAGGAAGTGGTCCCGTCAGAGGACTCAAACCATCTACTCATAGAGTTTCCCTGTATTTCCTTCTTTTCTCTCTCTTTTCACATTTCTTAAGGACATCTATTTTTTGGTCTTGTATTTTAATATTTTAAAAAATATTTCTTTTGTGTTCTTTCTACTGTTATTTCTTAAAAGCTCTGCTTCTACTTTTATTTTTTTCTTCACCTTACATTTATATTATTAAATAGTTTTGTTTTAATTTTGTATATATTTCACATTCATTTCCTACTCTTTCTCCCTTCACTTCTTCGGTATTTCTACTGTGGCAAAATATACATAACATAAAAATTTACTATTTTCACCATTTTTAAAGTGTATGGTTCAGTAGCATTAAGTACATTCTGACTGTTGTGCAACCATCACCACTATCCATCTTCAGAACTTTTCATCTTCCCAAACAGAAGCTCTGTACACATTAAAATATGCAATCACTTTAACTTTCATTACCAAATCCTTTATTTCCTTTTGTATATTTTTAATTTATATTTGAGGGGTGTGTTTATATTGCCCTATATAAACCTTACTTGTCCTATTTTTATTTTCCCCCTATAACTTTTCCTCTCCTGTTTATCTGTTATTCCATGTTGTTTTAATTTCTAATCTTTAATCTCTTCTACCCATCCCCACACACAACAGCACATGCACACACTATAAAGCTCCTCCTACCTGACAAATGAGGTAAATGAAACTATCAGCCCCTGCCCCAGAAGGTTGATAAGCCCAGGCCATCAGGAAGCCCACCAGGCCACCAGACGCACCTGGAGTAGACAGCTTCTCCACGACAATAGCCAATGATGGCGGCTGTCTCGGGATAGATGGCCTCATATTTCAGGAGATGCCTCTTCAGGGCGTACAGAGGGTGGTTCTTATATGTGCCAATGACAGTGGGCAAAGGCTGGTCCAGGTGCTTTGCCTGAAACTGCAAAGGCCAGAGACATAATGTTGAGCATGTGGTTTAGAACAGGAAGTAGGTTTGATATGGGCAATCCTCAGACCAGCATGTTCACAGTGAAGCAGAGGTTTCATGAGCACCAATGATTGTAACATTGCTTTTGTAGCTCTGTTAAGTAGGTTTCAGATAAATCAAAAGCTATGAAGAATCAAGTAATTCTGTGACTTAAAGCAACTTTGAAAAGTCATCTAACCTATTCCTCAGCCAGCCTAGCAGATGAGTGTCCACTCTACTACGGAGTTCCAAGGGAACAAAAACAGTTTTCTTCAGGAAAGAGGTCTTATCTCAAAGTGGCATCACTATTCTGCAACATGGGTTTCCTTGACTGCTCACAGGAAATCAAAATGAGTTGTTCACACCTTGTGACTTTTTTTAAGTCTACTGTAATTAATACATGTTCTTTTAGCACTTCTATAAGGAATCTGATTTTTCTTTTTTTAAAAAAAATATTTTTATTGATTCGGAGAGAAAGGAAGAGGGAGAGAGAGATAGAAACATCAATGATGACAGAGAATCATTGATTGGCTACTTCCTGCACGCCCCCCCAATGGGGATTGAGCCTGCAACTCAGGCATGTGCCCTTGACCAGAATCGAACCTGGGACCCTTCAGTCCGCAGGCTGACGCTCTATCCACTGAGCCAAACCGGCTAGGGCAGGAATTTGATTTTTCAGTGGACAATTCCACTGCTGTAATTCACATCTGATTCACCAAGGTCTTGTAGGCCGTCCTTAGCAGTTCTTGAAAACCCCCAAATATATTAGTGAGGACGGGCAATATGGAGTAGCCAGGAGTAGGATAGACCCTCCACATGATTAGCTTCCAGTACAGACTTTATTAGGTTAGTCACAATGTCATCTGCACAATTCCCATCTACTCTGACATTTTTCAGTAAAATGAACCAGAACACCCCCAGAGGAAACTCTCAATGCAGGATGAACTGTACGATACAGAGAATGCTAAGTAAGCCCATGCTTCACCCATCTGAGGAACTGGGAACAATTTGCCAGCAAATCTGGGCATGTTCCCATGTGGAAATGCTGAGCTCCACCCAATGCCATCACTGCTGTGCATAGCAGCTCAGGCCTCCTCCTAAAACCAAGGGACACACCAGGTCCTTTAGTCTAGAAGTCAGCTGCCCAGTGTGCCTTCTCAACAGACTGAAGGTATTCCTCATCCTGAATCCCTTCCTTCCCAGGATATGAGTGTTCTACATCCACGGAGGGTCGTGTATGTGTTTTGTGAGTGGGTACGACCTGAAAAGGAGGGCGGTAATCATATTAATGAGTTTTTTCTTCTTTCCCTCAGTATGCCTTGCATAAATTATTTTAAAGCTCCAAATTTATAACTGGGCAATAACTACAAGTATACAGGCTTCAAAGCCAGATAGACCTGGGTTCAAATGCCAAGTCAGTCAGTCAATCGCTTTAATCTTGAATTCTTAACTGGTAAAAAAAAAAAGGCAATAATAGTCCCAGCTTTATAGAGTTGTGATAACTAATGAGATACACTAAAAATACCCAACACAGGGCTGGGCATACAAAACTGCTCAAATATGGGAATAATTTTAATAACTCGACTGGGTCTTTGAGCCTGTGGCAGCCGAGGCCTTACCTCCAAGTCTTCTTTCTTTTCCCTTTCCACCAATGGGCTCTGGTAGGGTCTCAGGGTTTCAGCCCACCACTTGGCATCAACCCGGCACTTGCGGGTCGCTGTCATCCAGGCTGGGTCATACCTCTGGGTGACATCCCGGACCCAACCATCATTGTCAAAGCCCACAACGTAGGCCATGGGCTTGGTGGCGTATCTGTAACATGTCACAGCCTGGCCCACCACACCATGCACACAGTCCACACACACCCATTTTTCCTCCCGCTCACAGAACACCTCTAGCCACTGGTCCACACCAGCTGTTTTCCCTTTTTCTGTCCTCTCACCATCACTGGACATTTTCTTGCCTCTCTTATTCTTACTGCTTGAAGAGCTTGTGGATGCTGCTGGAGAGTCGGGATGCTTAGAGTGGCTTCCACGTCGGGTCCTGGAGTCACTTTTGGACCCTGCCTTTGTCCTCTGAGGGGCCGGGGCCCTCCTCTGTCTCGAAGGACCAGGCTCAGAATCCTCATCAGATGGATGATGGGCTTCCCCACTGGAGAGCTCGAAGTCAGAGCCACTGTTGGTCTCGTCACTCCCACTCTCCTCTTTATAAGACACTCTGGAGGCCACCCGTCGCTCCCGGCCACGCAATTGTCTCTGGGTTTCTCCCTGCTCTCCCGCCTTGCCCTCTTCTTCCTCACTGGAGGAGGGCTCTCTCCGTTTCTTCCCCACGGCAGCTGCCTTACTCCTCTTCCCTTTGGCACTTGGACTGGTGGTGCCTTTAGAAGAAGTGCCCTCTTTTCTGGTTCCTCTGCTGGTCTTTGGTTTGGTTTGATTTTCTGAGACTTGGCTGGAAGTTTCTGAGGAGCCCTCAGGACTCTCTGTGGAACTCTCTTTAGGCTTCTTTCCCTTAAACAAAATAGAAATTTTCTTTTTTGCCAATGATAAGATAGAGACCCTGTAATCTGACCCTTAAAAACAGTCTAATGACCAATTTTTAAAAAGTATGATAATTTCTCACTTCTCCCTGACCAACTACCCTTTTCTCTGGAAGCCCCAAGAACCTCACCTTGGCTACTGATAACTTCAGAGGAACTGGCTGTAGAGACAATACCAGTCGGGTTGGGAGCTGCAGAGCCCGGAGCATCAGTAAAAATATCTGTAATGAAAAAGGACAACACATTTATCTTCAGAAAAGGATTAAGGGTTTAATTAATTAAATGTTGTTGTGGTGGTGCTCATTTGTAATAGGGAAAAGTTAGAAATAACCAAGCTGTCAAACACTAGGAGCCTGGAACCCTCGACACTATTAAAAACGATGTAGCAGAGATCTATTTTTGTAGAAAAACAGGAAAATGTTCACCATATAGTAAAGAAAAAGAGAAGTTTGTGTTTAAATATATAATGCTAATTTCTCTCAGAATAAATTATACACAAATATAAACATATATGCATACTTGGAAAAGGACCTATATACTGGGTTATGGCTGTTTATGCGTGGTGTTTTTTATCAGCTTAACTTTTATATGAAATATCCAGAATATATAAGTCATTAGACAGAATGCACATTGGTGGTTGCCAGGTGTATGAGGAGGTGGGAGGAGGTAGAAGAAGGAGTAACTGTTTAATGGGTACAGGATTTCCTTTTGGGGTAACAAAAATGTTTTGGAAACAGAGGTGGTTGTCAAAACTCTAAATACACTAAACATCACTGAACTGTTCATCTTTAAAAAAAACCCACTATATTTTTTTGCTTTAAAAACACCCTCATAAACAAAACCAGTATACTAGTATATGTACACAAATACACAGGAACAAAGTTTGGGAGGACAATACTAAAATATTAATGTTTTCCTCTGGATGGTGGTATTACAGCATAATTACTGGCCATGCCAGGTATCTTAGACTTTATTAAGCCAAGTCAGAAGAGAGGTAAAGATGACAGTCACTTAGCCTGTAAGATTCAAAAAGTCTGGTCGATTTCCCTAAACATACAGGGAATTTGAGGCTCAGGCACAAGTGTATGTATTCACAGGAATCTTCCAGGGATTAAACCAAATACCTACCCCTGTTTTTGTTTTATTCAGACAGAGCCTTATCTAAGGGTATTTTCAAGCATGTTGTAAAGCCTGTCTACACATAAGACCCCTTCACCAGGACTCTTTTTGGTAGAAAAAACTCTCCTCACTGCATGGCTGCCTGCCAATGCCATCACCCAAATTGGAAGGTATGGAAACACTTTCTTAAGAATTTCAGCAGCCAATCTGAAACATTTCCTTGGAACTTCTGAACACAATTTCTAAATAGTTAAAGGAAACAATTCTAGGGCACCTGACCAAAAATTCACACACGAGGACACCAAGTAATAGAAAGAGTGTAGGCCTTAACTCACACACTGGTCCTAACCCTGATTCCAATGCTGGTCAATGAGTGACCCTAAGAAAGTTACGTAGCCTCTTTGAGCTGCAGTACCTAGTATTTACTTTATATCTGGCACATGACTGCCACCGTCATTTGCTACCAGTAATAAAAATAGTGCTGCCAGGAAGAATCACTCACATGGACCAATTCTTCATCATCTCGGGCAGAGTAAATCGCAAATCTCCTTTCCAACGTAGTTTGTAGGCTGTCATGCTCGCTGATTGAAAGGTCAGAGTTAACTGTAAATGTTCCAATGAACCTGGAGAGAAGCCGGGCATTCCCTTGTGTGAGAAGTAGGAGCAAAGAGGAACTCTGTTCTTTATAGACAAGAAAATCAGAAGGGGCAGTCTGCGAAGGAAATTGTGAGCCCTGCCTGCTTTTGTTCTATTTTTCCCACCCTGTTTGGGTAACTCCTCCTCATTATTAAAGACTCAATTCAGACTTTACCTCCCTCTGGAGCCTTCCCAGACCCCCCAGCTGAGATAAGTGCCCTGGCTCTGTGTGCCCGCAGTGCCCAGCACACTGCTTCCAGAGCAATGGTCACACTGATTACCTGGGAGTATATTTATCACCCAGACAAACCTGGGAGCTCTTCCAGGACAGAGATCATGACTGACAAATTCTGTCTTCAATGCTGTGCCCACTGCCTGGCTTATAGGATCACCTCAGGGGTATCTGTGTTAAATGACCTGTACCCAGTCAATCTGAGAGACACACAAATCCTACACTAAGACTGTGCAGCACAGGCCAGAGGGCCATACCATTTCACCAGGTTTGACAGGTAGGAGATGTCCACGTCTTGGGGAGGCACTTTGGTAAAGCGAATTGGGATGATGGAGAGGCTAATAGCCTGAAGATCGAGCTGGTTGCAGATGCTATTTCTATAGAAGCCATTTGCTAACAGGCACAGAAGGTGAACCTGGAGACAAAGAGAAAAAGAAAAAGGAAGACATGAAAGAAAAGCTGAACATAAGAGGGATTTTTGCTGCTGAATTAAAAGACATTTTGTGGGCAGGATGTATTTGTTGGTATTTCTTTTTTTTTTTTTATAATATATTTTATTGATTTTTTTACAGAGAGGAAGGGAGAGAGATAGTTAGAAACATCAATGAGAGAGAAACATCGATCAGCTGCCTCCTGCACATCTCCTACTGGGGATGT